GAAATAATCATATCTCAGTACACTAATGAAATGTATTCGTTTTCTAAGTGGTTGAGGGATGTTGCTTCTTGATCCATTTTTATTTGATTGGTGAACTGAGTTGATTTCTTAATCTGTGGAACATCATATATAAATTCATATCTTCCAAATCGACATTGCCTTGTAACCTAGCTTTATGCTTGTGCATTGTGTGTATACTTGCTGTCCTTTTTGAATTAAGAATGGATAATTCTTCTTTAATCTCCAACGATACTATTGAGAATGAATTTGTATCTAAGGAGGTAGGTTTCACTTTGTTTTATGGAATATATGTTTAACATGCTTAAAGTTTATTACATACTTAAATGTTTATGTTATTAGAGGAATGCATTCTTAATGTAGAATAATCTAATATGAAAATAGTATGTTGTTAATGTTTAAGATATATGACGGCTATGATGAATGATATAATTACAGCTTAAGAAATGCATATATTATTCTAATACTTATGATTTTCTCGTGTTTTATCTTAGGTGTGTCCTACTTGTGGCAAAAAGTTCACTTTAAAACAAAATTTAAAACAACATCTAAAGATCCATACAGGAGAACGTCCCTTTCAATGCGTGGAATGTGGAATGTCTTTCTATAGACAAAGTGTCTTGAACAGACATATGAGAGTCCATACTAAAAAAACACCTTTCCAATGTAGTATGTGTTTCAAGAAATTCACTCGTGTTGATAATTTAAATATTTCTAATAATGGCCAAACATAAACTCATTGTGCTTAGAACTATTTTAAGCACTAATACTATGCTTTACAATATGATTATTTTCATTCAGAACATTTCTATTTGAAACATTAGTAGAAACTTTATTTTTCACAGCATTAATCATAAGATATTCCAGGGATAATTTTAGAAGTATTTACATTAACATTTACTTTGTTTTGTTATCTGAACATTACTAGGAACATTTCCCGAAGGAAATTTTGGGCACCCGTGATAGTTGGCTGTTTGTCCTATCTGGACACAATTGCAGCACTTTACCGTATGCAGACGCTTGGTAGTACAATTTTCCGTTTTATGCGGTCAATTTAACGCATCTAGGTTTGAACTTACTGACTTCGGAAGAATGGTTAAAGTGCTGACAATTGTGACACTGTACTACTCCCCCTTTAACTTTATAGGGTACAATTTCTACGTCAAAACACATATTTACTATGTTGTATATCCTCTGTACACCCAGTTCATTCATAATTTGATGTATGGGCATTGGGAGCCTTTGTTTTTAGCCGAACCATATTTGCCACTTTCCTTACCTTAAATCCCAATGCTTTGAATTAATCTTCAATTTCATCTACGGATTATTGTCAGGAAGCCCTTTACATACGACTTTAATAGGTTGTTCTACTTTAGATGTAATGACATAATAATCTATTACACATTCATTCAAATAACGCGAAATTGTCAGTCAATTTTATAAAACACTTCAAGAAATTCACCACTGACTTGTAAAATCAAATTTAGTTTCCGTTTTTAAAATTTTAACAAAATCAGAAAATTTGATTCTCGGCTGGACCATTATAAAGCCTGATAAAGATATTTTTAACTTACTCTGGTACACACGATTTCAAAATTTATTCAGCTATACAAAAAATATTGAGCTACAATTTCCAAAATTGAAATAAGATGGAAAGCTGGGCTTTCTCAATAGATTTAAGGAGGCCTGCAATAGTTTCCAGTTCCACTAGATATATCTTTAACTTGCGCTTTACTCTGCTACATCGCTTTGAACTGCCTTCTATTTCGGTTATTTCTTTCTAAAAATATAGCTTTGAAAAAATCCTCGTATCTCTCCTGCATGGTTCATTTGCTGCTAAATCCTGCAAGTTCACTGCCTGAGAGTGCCAAGACTCTTTGCTTCTTCTCTAGTACCCCCCAAAGATGATTTACAGATGTTTCTCGATTCGATCTTTAAACTACGTTATGTTTTTACTATTCAACCTATTTGTTACTCATAGATAAAACTTTGGGACAGGTAGTAGCCTTTTTCTGTGTGCTGCTAAACAACCACCTGTGGTCTTTTGAACTAACGGGTTCATGAATGCTCTTTAAAGTCGCCAATAAGTTCACGATTTTTCTGTTGTAATGATGAGAATAATGAGAAAACACCACCACACTTTTTAATTAAAATATTACATTCAAACTGATTTCAACTTATTAGGTATTTAAACTTCCACATCTCCAGCAGTTTTAAATAAAAAATTCTAATTATTTAAAAAATATGTCTAAAAATATTTTAGCTTAGGATAATGTGCAAATTTTTATAGATTAAAATTGAAAATTTTTGTCAAAAAATTCATAAAAGATTTGATCAATATTCTGGAGCTAAAATCGCGAATCCTAATCTTAAACTGCTTACAAGATCTGGTACTTGGTCATAATTTGAGGCTTAAAAATTTTGCCATATCACATCAGAAAAATATTAGAAACAATTTTATATCAGAATGCGTATATTGGATCAGTACTATATATAAATCTTATACATATCCTAAGCAGCGTTTTTGAAATATGAAAAACACAAGCTAAATTTTATCGATCGCCCACACAGATCAGAAGAGACATATAATTGTGCCATTTTTTCCGACTCACTGAACATATAAAATGCGTAATAATTATTACAACTATTACTAGGAATTAACTGTTGAATGTTTTGTTGTAATTAAAAAGTCTTACTAATTCTATGGTCATACTGTGTTACATTTGCAGATAATTACATATTAAGTGATAATACATCCAGTATTGTTAATTACTGTCTTTCTCAGTGCCAGAGCTATGTAGTCTACTTAGTCCCATTTAAGCACATATTTGTTTTCACCATCTTTAATTTGACATAATTGATCTAGGGTCTGATCTGAAGTTTGATTAGTTATGTATTAATTAGTATATCATATTTTGTTGTTGCTTATGCGAATGTCCACAGAAAAATTATATTTCCTTATATAGTCTAATTTAAGTATGCAAGGCTTGGTAATATCTGTTACATATGCCATGTGATGGTAGGCAGCAATCCCAAATGTGATGTTTACACTTTTTATTGATGTTGGTCTTATCCCTGGAAACTATCTGGAGGGTAATGCAGGGAGGTGTCCAGATGAGTTTACATTTCAATTGTTGATCCAAATCTCTTCGAATGATGGTAACATTGGCTCCTGTGTTGATGGTCATATTGCAAGGACCTCTATTAATATACCCCAAGATGAAGAGTCCATTACTGCCACCATTCAATGCAGGAATCTGAAGTGCTTTAAAATGGGGCTTCTCATTATCTTTCAATCTCCTTGAGATAGTCACTAATTTGTTTCTTGCATCCTTGCCAAGTAGTGGTATTATTTTCTGTGTTCTGAAGTGTTCAGCAGTTTAGGTTTCTTGTAGCTCCTATTCCATCTCAAAGCATCGACTTTCGTAGATAAATCGTCTAGACGAGCAGTCATTTGATCCACTGACTCTTGGACTTGATCAGCTCTGATTGAGTGTTGGTCTCTGTGAGTTGCTCGCTGACATGCCTCAACAAATCATTTAAACTTTTCTAATAGATATACACTGTAATCCGGACGTCCATTATCCGGAATGATCTATAATTCGGACCTCAAAGCCACAAACAAACGCATGCGCGTTTAATGCGCGCGTCTGCTATGCATGAGCGTAAAGCATTTATCCATTTGCGCTTCCGATAGTGAAGAAAGTGACAGAGACGAAACGAAAAAAATTTCGATTGACAAGTTAGTCGGTATTCTTGACACAGCAATTACAGGACTTGAAAAGTGGAACTTTGTAACTGAACAAGAAATTATGTCTGTTTATAGAATTAAAGAGAAAGTATTAGCAGAAAAAACGAAGCAATTTAACCAACTTACATTAAAAGAAATGTTTAATAAAGTAAACAAACAAATATTAAGCTTTTTTTTGGTAAATTTTGATACCCTTTAGATCATAATTGTCTTTATTTCATAAATTATGGTTTCATTTTTATAATTTCTGCATGCCATCTTACCAGATTTAAATTGATGATCTATAATCCGGAAAAAGTGGAACTTTGTAACTGAACAAGAAATTATGTCTGTTTATAGAATTAAAGAGAAAGTATTAGGTGAAAAAATGAAGCAATTTAACCAACTTACATTAAAAAAGAAATGTTTAATAAAGTAAAAACAAATATATTAAGCTTTTTTTTGGTAAATTTTGATACCCTTTAGATCATAATTGTCTTTATTTCATAAATTATGGTTTCATTTTTATAATTTCTGCATGCCATCTTACCAGATTTAAATTGATGATCTATAATCCGGAAAAAGTGGAACTTTGTAACTGAACAAGAAATTATGTCTGTTTATAGAATTAAAGAGAAAGTATTAGGTGAAAAAATGAAGCAATTTAACCAACTTACATTGAAAGAAATGTTTAATAAAGTAAACAAATAAATATTAAGCTTTTTTTTTGTAAATTTTGATACCCTTTAGATCATAATTGTTCTTTATTTCATAAATTACGGTTTCATTTTTATAATTTCTGCATGCCATCTTACCAGATTTAAATTGATGATCTATAATCCGGAAAAAACCCTAATCCGGAATCACCGAACTTCCAACGAGTCCGGATTACAGACACTGTACTGTATAACCTTTTGACAATTATACAGTAGAAACGTCCCAGAAGAATACTTTTTATGCAATGATGATTCAGATGAAATATAATTTTTTGTAAATTAAAAACAGCTATTAATATGGTATAAATTAAAGGTGTACACCAAGAAATTACTAATTTAATCTTGCATAGTTTACATGCTTGAAAAAGTAATACTTTCCACAATATAACAATTGAACCCAAAGAATTTGAGAGTACATATACACAAATATTCTGCCACTGAATTAAATAATTACTTGATTTGTATGGTCATTTTTAAGATCTTGACCAAATTATGTAAACATTTTTATTTAGGAAAGAAGAAAAAAAAAAGACATGCATATTTTATTCATCTTTATTATAAAATTTTATAAATCAACAATAATATAAATCTAGAATAATAAACTTGTTATACAAAATTTCAACAATGGAAAACTGGTAGTTAATATAAAACTATGTGCACCAACAAAAGAAAAGCATAGGAACTCCAGAAAATATTCAAGTAATTTCAATATGACATCCAATTTTTAACAGAAAGGAAAAAAAAAAAAAAAAAAAAAAAAAAGGGGACATAATTACAATTAGCAGATATAAAATAGGAATGGAAATTACAATATATCTTCATGCATATGAAAATGAAAATTTAAAAATAAATTAAAATTACTAGTTTTCGGCTGAGTAATTTAAATTTTTGTTATAAACTGAAATATGTGTTTTTCATAACTTATTACCAATTTCTTTCAAACAAATATATTTTTCAAAATTACAACATTTATTTAATACAAATCTTCTATTTTTTTTTGGATATCATTTTCCTAGACTCTGCAATATGTACCTAGGTACAAAAGCAAATTAAAAAAAAAAAAAAAAAAAAAAAAAAAAGCATTCAGAAGTTACTATACTAAAATCTGCAGATATGTTTAAAAAAAACTAATATAAAACATATAATAATCAAATGGAATAAAATTTTCACTACGAAAAAATTATAGTATCACACATTAGTAAAATATACTCAAAGAACAACATTTTGTACTTCCAGTAAAAAATCATACAACTTACAGGAAAAAGATAAAAAGAAAAAGAAAAAGATGCAAAACTTGACCTAACAAATACACTTATTTACTGCTTACAGCTGCAAACAAATATATTATCGCAGAAGTAATTTTAAGAACTAACTCCTTTAACAAAAATAAATACATTTATTAAATAAGAGGTGTAGAACATTCTAACTCAAATTAAGAAAGGAAGGGGGAAGGAAAATCTATAAAATTTGATATTATATAATGGAAGAATTAGATTTTCAGAAAAGAAAGATTTCTTTTTCCTTCTTATGAAAAAGATAGAACACGTGCTTCATTACTTGCACAACTATATATTTTTTAAGTTTCAAATAAACTAACTGAAATTTAAAATAAATCAAATTTAACTCTGTCATTACAAATGATGCCTACAGGTGCTTATAAAGTTCAAATATATGTCTCACATGCCTGCAATTAACAAAGCACTATGATTTGACAATTTTACTGCACTCAAGCATTCAATTAATATCACTTCAAATATTGCTGCAATTATTTTTAGGCATTAGGTACATATTTTTAAATTATTATTATATTTACATGAAAATACAGTGAGCAAAAAAATCACAAGTTATAGCTTAACATTTACCATCTGTCACAGATGCTATATGTTAATTATATAGATGTGAAAGGGTTTTAATGACACATTCATATTGAGATATGCAGTATTTTAAAAAACATAAAATGAGTAAAAATTTAATTAACTCAACAGAAACAAAAACAACATATATAATATTAACACAAGAAAATCTAAATGCATTCAGGGCAATTCCATATAACTCAGCAAAATATAACTGAAAAACTCTCTTTAACTGTTTATTGTGATATTTACTAATTTGCATACAATTTTATTATACTTGATCTATTTTGTGTTTCTAATTGTGCTAAGAGACAGCTCTATAAAAATATACAAGTATTAAATTTAATGACTCTTATAATAAATATGAAATGCATCATATAATATTTAAAAAATAATGCTGAATATTTTCTTTTCATTAATCCTGTTAAAAATGTATTCTGGAAGACTATTTATATGCTTTTTTATAAAATCAATTCCCATATACACTCTTGCAATAATGGCCTGTTCCAATATGATGACTCATGCAAGTTCCATAAATTCCAAATGATCTTCTGTAAGCTCAATGCAGAGGTCTTCAAACTTTGCCAACTCAAGAACGCACAAAACTAATTTTTTTTTTTTCTTTTTGAATTCTCAAAAATTATAACTTTCTAGCAAAAAAAAAAAAAAGCCTCAAACACTTTCAGGGGGGGGGGGGAAATACTGAAAATATATGTGCAGATGCAATTTTATGTGGAAAATGAAAAGAAAATTAAAATTCTTTCTTAAGTTTACTACAAAAACAGACTTGCTTCATACTATTTAAACTAACAATAGCAACAAAATATTATTTAATTATTTTACATGATTCATTTATGGTCTATGTGATATTCAAAAATGTTTTTGAATTTTGACTTACAAAACACTTAGAGGATTGTAAGGAACTCCAAGGTTTTGTGGAAAGCAGTTTCAAGATAACTGGTTAAATGTAAATTTTCTCTTAATGCGATAACCAAACAATGGTTCAAAAGCACACTATATAGAACTTTCAGATACATGAATAAGGCAAACTGTAAGCCTTCGATAAATAATTATGGAGGCAATAAACAAGCAAATTTACCTCTAGAATTACCTGGCATCAGCCACTGCTCAGTAAACACATTTACAAATATCAGGAAATGCGGAAACTTCATAATCGAATATTATTAATTATTAGGATACTGCACTTCAACATATGAATTTATCTAAGAAGGATGAAATGGCATATAAAAGAGTTGACTTATGCTTAGTTTTAGTTTTTTAATTAATTATTATTAGTATATTAAATTCCTAAATATGAATTTTTATTTAATTTTTAATTACCTGAGGATATTTTATTCAAACTACATTTATTAAGGGGTGAAATTATCATTGGAATTTATATGCTTAAATCACATTTAAAAATACAAATAAAATCTTATTACTTAATGACATAACATACCGATAATTTTTTTTTACCATTTCCATGCAATATTGTTCTGTACAATGATAAGTTGACACAGCATCTTTTTATCAGTACTTAGGTCATTATAATGGAAATTGGCTGCATATTGTATAAAAACAATCAGAGGATAAAATAATTTTCACAGTAATATAAAAGCATATTTCAAATATTGCGATTTATAAAATCAGATAATTTATTAATACAGATACATAGTTTATATTGAAAAAAAGAATACCAAAAAGTTTTTGTTTGACAGCTCTACAGCCATAAATAAATAAGTATAATGTTCTGGCAAAGCAGATAAAAGAAGGCCATGAGACTAGTAAGGTCCCTGATACATTCCAACTTGTGTCTAGAGCATGTGATAAATATATTGATGGCAATATTGCTACTAAATGTTTCCACAATGGAATCAACACTTGGATACATTTCTTTGACACTGAGATACATCATACACAGTTTCAAGATATACTTCAGTCATCACTTAGTATAATTAAAGCAGAATATCCTAGTAAGTTCCACTAAGATCGTATTGAAAGACTCTGTGCTTGCTAATGTCACAACTCTTTTGAAGCAGATGCTGGAAGCCATTAAATAGAAGATTTTGGAATTTCCTTAAATTTAAACTTTTAAATTGGAATGCCTCCCTCTTGATTTTCAAGCAACTGATATGAAGAAGTCTACTGGAATTTTGTGAGCATAAGCTCACACATTTGTCACTAAAAAGCATCTTTATCTCTTTCATCAATACAAAAAGTGCCCTTATGTCTACAACAATTACTTCAACTTATTGGACTACAGAGCTCTCAAATAGAAACTTTTTGATTTCACTACGTGATGCAGTTTAAATTATTCTTTCAATAAATTTAAATGAAAGATTTCTTTCTATAAAAACATAATTTGACATTAAATAAAAAAAAATTGGGGGAAAACAGTAAAATAAGTAACATTGATTGATTGTTAATGCAATAAAAGTTACATTTATCAGCTATAAGTTAATTAATAAAAGATTACAAAAATTTACAAAAAGTAACTAACTTTATCCAGTAATTTCAATATGATTTCAATAAGACCTTTCTATTATACTGAAGCATTTGGTTAAAAAACAGTCTCTCTTCATATAAATATTCATAAAGAAATACATAAAAAATTATGCCATTATAACAAAAGATCATCACTGTTACTTGAAGCTCATACATTCAATGAAGATGAGTATCTACAACATTAATCTAATTGTGCATAAATTATACAGCTCGGGATTCTCAAACTTAAAGGATTTTGTGTCTTAATGCTCATATGATCATCATTAACAATTTTCCACATTTTATGAAAATACAGATGAATTTTTCAATACAGAACAATGCAAAAACACTCAAAATTTTTTTTTCATGCATATTAAAGGCAATTTTTTTGTGATATTGTTTTGAGTTCGCATTTCATTCAAAATTCATACATTAATAGAGGATCTTTACCTTTCATGTGGAAATTTTTATCAAATAACAGATAAATTAATTAATGTAACAAACAAGTTCATCTAATTTCTCATGAGATCCGAGCTCTTCTCCTCCCCCCAGAGAACTCATGGATTTCCTGGAACTCAGAACATTTATGTTCTTCTAGGAAACTGCAAACCATAATTTGAAAAATATTATGTTAAATGATTTGGATTAAATAGCCAGAATTTCTAAATTTTTCCATTATTACTCATTTAATCTCTAAGCACAATTTTATTTATTTATTTATTTTTTACTGGAAATGTTTTATTCTGAAGCAAAAATGAATTAATTACTATCAATTTTACAAATAATAAAGATGTAATGAAATCAAGAAAAAAACTCAAATTGAAATTTTCTGAATTGCTATCTAACAGATATGAATTCTACAGTACTGCAAATGCTGTACATAAGGACATAAAGGAAAACTCCTTGCTAAATGCTGTTGAACAATACACTAAGGAACAATGATTTAAAATTAAGTTGATTATTTCTTAGTTATATAATGATTAGATGGAAAACAAACTGTTAATTAAGAGTCTGGAATGAACTTGAGTTTATGTATTAAAAGTTTGTTGGAAGCATGAGGCATGCTTGATTAAGTTTATATCCACTTTTCAGATAAAGATAAAAGGTTTGTCAAGTAAACAACTCTTTTTTAAACAAAGTGGAAAAAAGTATAGTCATTTCAATGAAGCAAAATCTGGCATGCTCAAGAAAGATTTCTATACATTGTCACCAATTTCTACAATATCAGTCATGGCTGTGTCAGGGCAAACAACTATGGAAAATTTATACACTAATTTAAAAGACCACACATTTTAGGTATGCTTTTAATATGTGTCTCTGAGTAATATTTTACTGTTACACTATCAGACAATTTAAAAGGTGTTTATCTTTTAAGATTTTATAAACATTCTTACTGCATTACAACTTAAATAAATTAACGTAAAATTTTGCCTTTTAGGAATAATGCAAATAACAATAATTCAGATAAAAATGATATAAATTGATTATCTAAGTTACTAAACGGTATTGCTTATATGAAGAATATTGTTTACAAATTACAGAAAAGTTTCTCAAAATATTTGTGTCTGTAATAAAGAATTATTGCTTCTAAAATTTTATATATATACATATATAATTGATGAAAATATGATTTGAAAATTCTCATGGAATACTTTACAGAATAACAACAAAATTTTTTTTGTCTAAAATAATTTATACAAACTAAATTTATTACCTTTATATTAAATATTCATCAATTGCATACACTTTACATATCGTTCTGGGCATCTGTTATATCCCATTACCAAAATTTGGTCTTATTCAACAGATAAAAATGACATATTTAAGAACATATAATCAACATACATGTTGACTTTTTCGAACAGTCAAATCAAATTTAACATCCAAATCACTGACTTTTTTCCACTTAGAAGTACTGCAAAATAAAATAATCTTTATTAAAATGAAAGCTTAAAATTAAGCATGTTTATTGAAAGAAAACATCTCATAAATTCTTATCCAAAATTATCTTTACATGCATGAAATCAATAATTACTCAGAAACTATTAACTAAGATTATATATGAATTTGTGTGGAATGATACATGACATCATAACACATAAATGCAAAGGAAAAACTTAAAGTGCACTCTATAAGATAAGACTGTAGCATGAAACAATAAAAATGATAATAATATACTATAAAGAGAGTTCACAAAGGGGAAAAAGAATAACTCAGAAAAAAATTAAGGCTCAACAATTTCATACAGAACATGATTTCCCCCTGGCTTGCACACATATTTCACATCATGAACTCATGCTGGCAATAATGCTGTTAATCACAATTTTGGGATTAAGCTCAGGAATGTTGGTCTTTAGGTCTACTAGCAAGACATTTCTGTGCAACTATTTTTCGAAGATAGTTTTATAAGTTCTCAGTTGGCTTCAGACCTGGAGATTTTTCAGCTACTGTTGGCTGCTAATCGCTTATTGTCTTCACTTTCAAGAAATTCAACAGCAAGGTGTGCTCGATGCAGATAAGCAATATCGTACATAAATAAAAATCTGGATCCATAGACACTTTTAAAAAATCTTAAGAATTCTATAGGATAAAGAGTGTCTGTCTTGAAACATTCACACATGTCCCATGATTGTCTATTCTGCTGCTAAATGGCTGATGATTTACCACTTCACAGATTCTTCCAAAAGATCCTGCAGAGCCATAACAAACCACTGAATCTTTACACACTAAAATCAAATGCTGTATTGCAGAAATTCACTTAGACATTTACTTTGTGCAAAGCACTAGATTCACTGTCATACGACGTAATTCCTTGATTTGACTATCAGAAATCGTTTGATCACTTTTGATCAGATAATGCTTGTCTTTTACACATTCTCTGTTAGATTACACTGATTGGATATTTCATGGAATATCATTATTACTGGGTATGTAAAGATACACTTGGACATTTGAGTGTATTTACACAATGTCCATAAATGTCTTTATACAGCCTTTATGATCATTGTCACAGATATATTATTTCAGTTACAGAAATGTTTTAAAATGATGGAGATATTTATTTGGCATATTTAATTTAAAATATATAAATTTCATAAAAATTATGAAATCTAAGCTCTCCATTCATATTTTTAAATTTAATAAAAGTTTATATCAGTTTAAAAAGCAAAACAAAAATACTTGAACCCTGCAGGATAAAAATTGACAGATATATTATTTAATTTAAAAATTTGCATTTATGCAATCTTTATGTATATGATATGCATATTTCAGTTACGATCTTTATGGTCTATGATATGTATATTTGGGTAATGAAGATATTTTCTATTAATGTCATGTTTGTGCCGTTTCTGAGGCAATCATTTTTCAACACAATTTTATGCATTATTTCAGTTTTAGTCATTTCACAGTACAGCTTCATATTGCATGCAATCATATTCGATTTATCATTTTAGATTTGTGGGCTATAATAATACTATGCACCACCCCAAATACAATTTATTCATTTTATTCAACACTTTTCAGGACAACAGTATTTTTATACATGCAAAGATAACTTCGAATGCTGGCATATTTAACTTTCCCATAAGCTGCATTAATATCAGAAATAAATTTATTCTTTTCTCTGTATAAAAGAAAATTCACATAGCTTGGAAATGCTATATGATTTTCAAATAGTTTCTAAAAAGTTTTCAACATTATATGATACATGATGCATTCGTAAAACGCTTTGCTAACCAAATCAACTAAAAACTAAGTTAAGCTTTATTCAAAATTATATTAAAAATTCTAAACATGGTTAGTTTACTATTAACAGTAACAGAAAGCATATTTCTCACACAACTTGCATTTAATTTACATCAAACTGGCACTGAATAATTAAAGAGCAAATACTTGAAAATAAAACAGAATGTAAAATACACATATCAGATACGGTCAGATCCGATTTTGGTTAAAAAATTTTTTATGACTATAAAATATTCTGAAGGCATTTTTTATTTTTTTAATACTTTACAAACTATAGTCTACTTACTTGTATGTAGTTATTATTCCCATGAAATTTACTATCATTCAAGATGTTAATCCTTCGATTCTGCAATTACTCCAAAATTCAATCTTAATTGTTCAAAGAATATAAAAGTAAGAACAGTCTGAGGTGACAGACGAATAAAAGCAGGAATATAACCCTGAAAATATTAAGAATTATGTTTATAAAATCTAAACAAAAAAAGTCCATTTAAAAGCACAGAAGAAATACTTAGATAATTTAAAAATTACCTTAAAAAAGCCCAAAGGTCCTAGCTTTGCAGTAACTGCTACACAATGTAATAACCCCCCCCCACCCCCCCCCCCCCCCCCCCCCCCCCCCCCCCCCCCCCCCCCCCCCACCCCCCCCCCCCCCCCCCCCCCCCCCCCCCCCCACCCCCCCCCCCCCCCCCCCCCCCCCCCACCCCCCCCCCCCCCCCCCCCCCCCCCCCCCCCCCCCACCCCCCCCCCCCCCCCCCCCACCCCCCCCCCCCACCCCCCCCCCCCCCCCCCCCCCCCCCTCCCCCCCCCCCCCCCCCCCCCCCCCCCCCCCCCCCCCCCCCCCCCCCCCCCCCCCCCCCCCCACCACCCCCCCCCCCCCCACCCCCCCCCCCCCCCCCCCCCCCCCCCCCCCCCCTCTAAAATGAAAATAAAATGAAAATTCAAGTTTTAATATGAATGCTACAAATTAAAACAGGATGAAGGCTGTAACTTTTTAACATAACTATGCTAATTTCTTTTACACAGAAAATTAGTTATCAGATTATTCGGCCTTTGAAAAAACTAGCAAGTATACTTTTATAACATAACAAAGTATATTTAAAATATGCATTTGGACATACAGCATTTTCTAGTGTTTATTAACATTAGCCTTACAAAATAACGATACAGAATGCTCATTTTATTAGATCTTTGATTATATAGTTTCGTTTTTCTTTTCCTTCACGTTCGTACGGGGTTCGTAGATTTGGAGTGAATACGACGACACTGGATGAAGTATCGAAACACACTTTATTTAGCCAATATTAGTCAGGGACAGCTCCAATAACACTTTTTACAGTCGTCGAAGATCTACTATAAACAAGCTGGAACAATCAGTGACACAGCCTTCAGGTTATCACGGTGGAGACAGCTTCCTGCAAAGCACCCGATTCTGCTTGGTCGTTCTCAGAACTCCACGTACTCTCGATACTCGGAACTCCACGCTACAACTCGCGATGCACTCGACGACACACGAGGCACAGCACCTGACTCTTCGGTTCAGTCGTTCCCGGAGCTCAACACGCTCTCTCAACGATGCACTAACTGCGATACACTAACACTCTTTCGATGCATTACACACATAGCAACAGGAAGCAATCATCTGCTGCTGTGTAATCCTCCAGCAACCAGACTTGCATCTTCACAAAAGTGTTTTGATCCCTTTGGTGATGATTACACAGCCTACTGATGACACTAGGATGCATATTCAGCTCTTTCTTACAATAGCAGATATTCTTGCACCTGCTTGCAATACTAAGAGAGCCCTCCAATAAATTTCTTCATGCAAATGATGTATGAACTCCATTAACCTCATGCAAATGATGATGAAGTGGAACTTCGACTTAAATATTACTCAATTGCATTAAACACATTCTGAAAGGAAATTGTACGCTGAAATTACGATAGATAGGAAAGGAGCTTTAACTTAAAAATAACTGTTAAAAACTTGTGATAAAACTTACAAGTTTAAAAACAGTGGGGCAGTATCCAGATGACCAGGACAGGGTTGACCAAGAGCCACAACCACCAATTACCACTGCTATTTGGTATTTTCAACCAAACACCAGAAAACGTCTACAGCCACACAACTGTATTGTGACCTTGCTACTGCCACTGAAACTTCAGTTTCAAGGAATACAGTTGCCAGAAAGCTCCACGAGACAGGACTGAATGCCAAAAAGCCTGCTAGTTGCATCCCACTAACTTACTCCCACGACACAGCTTCAATGGGCTAGTATTCTCTTCACGGATGAGTCTAGATTTAGTCTACAACCCGATTCTCAATAATTATTGATATAGAAGGAACCTGGGACCAAATACCATCCCAGCAACATCATGAAAAGGGACCAATATGATGGTAGTGAATGCCCAGAGGTATAGGCACTAGACTCTAGAGATCTATATGTGACTTTTAAGGGGTGCTATTAGCCATGAATTTATTTTTATAGACTACCATGCTCGACCCATACTGCCTACATGGTTGATAAGTATCCTATTGAACATGCTTGAGATATCCTTGGGACGGCAAATGTGATACGTCAAGCCCCCCGCAAAACCATTCAGGAGTTAAAAATTGCTCTGGGGGAGGAGTGGGTGCAACTTCCACAGGGACTCTTGAAGTTTCTTATTAACATCAAGGCTACTCGTTATGCATGCTGTATGTGAGAGGCAACCACATACCATACTAGCCACATTTTCAATGACAGCTTTCAACCTCAAGTTTGTACCATATTGGACTCATGCTAATGAATGGCATTTTCATTGTTATTTCATACAGTAAACTATACCCATATATAATTTCAGTCATTTCTATACAGTATTTCTCGAGATATTTAGGAAAAAGTGTTCAATATCTTAATTTTGTCCACCAGTGTAAAATATGTGCAATCATTCTAACTAAAATTTTCAGAAACTGCTTCAAAATATCTTCTGGTTGTATAAAAGATGATATCAAACTAGCTTGTTCTGGCTCTTTAACTTATTCCTCACACATTTGAAAACTTGGTAGGGAAAAAATAGCATTTTATCAACAAACTGAATTTAATTACCTTATATTCACCCGGCTTTGCATTCATTGCTCGAGTTTTCAAAACGTCTAATGGTTGAGTTAATGTAGTAGCAATGGCACCCTATATGAACAATAATTTTAAAGTTTAGTAGCTGAACAAAAATACTTCTATATTGCAACTATGTAATATTTACATTAAGGCATTAAACACAAGAGTAATACAAACAAATTAACAATCCATTCTCTGCTTAAGATTAATTTCCATTGTAATGGCTATACATATTTTAAGGAAAAAAATTAAACATGTCTCATAAAAATTCTTGTTTTGACGATAATATAACATACCTATTTTCTATTGATAATACTTGCAGCCTCTATGGTTTTCTTCAAGTAAAAGCATAGTGCACAAATTATACATCAATAACATACAAGAAGAATGCTAATATGAAGTTCAAATTTAACTAGGACTCAGACTGAATTTGGTTAAAACCAAATGCAGTTTTAAAAAAAGAAGCACCAATATAAGATGTTAAATTTTACTCACAATAATATACAATAAAACATATTGTAATGAAATTTAAATAAACTGAATATTAGAAATAAAAACATATAGCTACTTACTGCCATAACACTTGCAGTCAAATGTGTCACGAGATTGTCAGAAAAATATACTGTTTCCAGGAGCATTTGCTTAATTTGATCATAAAATGAAATCTGTAAGTTAAATAAAATATGTTTAACTATTCTGCTATAACTACTAATAGCCATGCATTAATTTTGATAATAAATCTATAATAATAAAAGCAAGTGTAATGTGTCTGTCTGACCGAGCTCTCCAGCCAAATCTATGGCACGCAGGGACCTGGAATTTTTTATACGGAAGCACTGGCCACCAGACCTCGAAGCCCGATTTTCGATTTTTGAATTAGAAAATTTAAAAAAATTATTATAATTAATTATCTGTCTGTCTGTCTGTCTGACCGAGCTCTCCAGCCAAATCTATCGCACGCAGGGACCTGGAATTTTTTATACGGAAGCACAAAGGGGCTGGCCACCAGACCTCGAAGCCCGATTTTCGATTTTGAATTAGAAAAATTTTAAAAAAAAATTATTTATAATTAATTATCTGTCTGTCTGTCTGTCTGACCGAGCTCTCCAGCCAAATCTATCGCACGCAGGGACCTGGAATTTTTTATACGGAAGCACAAAGGGGCTGGCCACCAGACCTCGAAGCCCGATTTTTCGATTTTTGAATTAGAAAAATTTTAAAAAAATTATTTATAATTAATTAATCACGGTTTTTTTTGACTCACTGATATCATTATTTTTTTCAAATACGTTCGATTGTAACAATTGATTTCTTTATTCTAGCGTTAGTTTTCTGTTTTGACGATACATTAAATCGATTAATTACAATTCATTTCTTTTTTGTAGCTTGTGGGGGGGGGGAAGAGAGAGAGACAGTCTACATGTCCTACACTACTATTCCTGCGCTATTCACTTATCTGCATTTTCTAAATGCACGGGCAACGCCGGGCGGGTACAGCTAGTTGTGAATATATATGCTTGCATGCATATATGAAATTAAATATTTAAAACAATGATTTTAAAAAAGAAATAATCAGCAATCAGAATATAATGGTGAATAGAGGCAGATATTGTGTATTTATCATTATTTCATGTGATGTACTCGTATATTATTTCATAGAATTATGTCGTCAAAGATGAATGGTCAAAGAAGAGAATTATGTGGTCGAAGGGTACAAGTGAACTCAGTTTCATTTAAGACAGTATATTTGCCTGTTTCCAGCTGAATACCTCATATGCATTAAGAATTTTTTATCTTTATTACGTGCAATATTATTCTTCACAATTCATATTCTTAACAATAAACCTACTAATAATCAGATCCAAAGAACCAGTTTTTTTTTGCAGTGGGAGCTCCTAATATATGTATTTAATTGCGACAAAAATTAGGTCAATATAATATCCAATGAAAAACTGATGAATACTTGATAAAAATTAGGTGAACATACTATTATCCAGACACAAGCAAAAATCTTTATATTCTCATAACTTATGAAATATAATAACATTACAGAAATTTATAACCAACTAATTTAATGAATACAAGAGTAAAAAGGGTCAGAATTAGAAAGAGGAGATAAAAAGATACTTGATAATTACGAATACAAAAAGTTCACAAAAAGAGGTGCGATTTTCCTTGATGAAATACAGTAGAATTCCAACAACCTGTGACCAATTTAACAATAAATGCCTGTAATTTGCATTCAGTTTTCAATGTAAACAAGAAAAATTTAAATTTTAATAAAATTCAGCATGGCAAGTTTAACAGTTTTTACTTCCTTGTAGGAAGTAAAGGAAGTACTGTAATCATGAAAAATTTCAGTTATCAGATTTCAAAGAAAATATCCATTACTAAAGAGACTATTCCCAAGTCTCTTTTGACTACTTTTTTTTGCAACATGTCTGTACGTACAGACAAAACAAAGGATATTTTATTCCAAAACAGATTCAAAATGGATTTTTTCACAATGTCTTGTATGTACGTATTTCGTACCTAAAAAATAATAACCCGTAGAAAAATTACGTAAGGACAGAATAAAATACTCTTTTTCTTCAAAAAAATTATAAAACTGCTTTAAAATTAATTCTGAAGAGAATTTTTCATGGCGTCTGTACGAACGTATGTACGTACGTATCTCGCATAACTCAAAAACGAGTAGCCTCAGAACGTTGAAATTTTGTATATAGGACTGCTATAACATGTAAATGTGCACCTCGTATTTTGGTTGCAATTGGCCACACCAAACGTACATAAATATATTTATATATATATCCACTCTGTTACCCGGCTCAGTGATCTCAGTTTCTTTACTCTTATATGTTTGTAAATTGTACATTTTTTGCTTTAAAAATGATTGAATTATATTGTTTCTATCTTCCGGTTAAGGTTTTTATGCCTTTCGTAATTCTGGAAGCAATATTTGTACAATTATCAACAATTTAAAGCTGTTTAATTGCAGTTAAGTTTTAAATAACGTGGCGGACATATTTTTTTACGTTTGAAACGGCAGAATTGTAGATTTGTTGCCAAACTAGAGAGACTAAGCTTCGCAACACAAAAATAATGCCTTCATTTATTATTGCGAATTAAATCATACTTAATCCTTTCTGGAATTTTTCTGGAAACTGTTTCTTTTCTGTTTTGTTTGCTTAATTTCTTTCATACATCATTTTAGCTTTATTATAGTATTTGAATAGAACATGTGGCAACGATAATTCTTCAAATGATATAAATTTTGTGCATTCAGAGTGTCGTTATAGTAAACAAATATAGTGAATTTTAAAGAGTGCATTTATTCTATTGTGGTTTATGCGCTGTCGACGAAGTAGATTTTAATTCAATCCAATCAATTTAAATGAAATTCAAGAAAAAAATGCGTATAATTTAATATTCCATACAAGGAAGTCATGTGGTGCACACATCAGATCTTTTTTTATGTTTTATACATGTGGGTTTGATATTTTTCAGAATAAAATATGTGGAGAGTCCCAATTCTTAATTTCCCTTCAGCACTACATAAAATACCTCCAGATTGAATAAACAATCATTTATTAGCATAAATCTATGCGATTAATAATTTGGTTCTTGCCTTTTTGGTTGGCATGCATCTCAGACTGAAATGTTCTGCATCAAAACATTGCTGAATTTACTCCTACTGAATAATTTATTTCCCCAATGCCAACAGGGCCATCATTATTTGCATTCATCTCTACATGACTGTCTAAACATGGCAGCCTATGAAATGACGTAGCGATACATAAACAATTTAAAAAAGAAATATGAGTTACTGAATACCAAACAGTGAGTTAGACCTTTATGTAGATCTTATGCATGGCAATGATTACAGACTTAGCAAAATGTGCTGCAAAGTGTTGTGTGCTGATGAGGAGAAATTTAACATAAACTTCTTTCTATACGCAAACAAGTAGATTTTGTAAATGATACCCATCAGCAAATATATTACACTTAGTGTTGTTTGAACTGAATTGGTTATTCAGATAATCAGATAAGCCCTGGACCAGCACCACAGCTAGTGCAACAGAATTAAGGTCACAATTTTTAGAATTTAGGGAAGTACCAAGCAAGGTATGGCAAAACCTTTATAGTATATGGAAGGCACTGAGATGCAAAATTTAGGGGTGGAATAGAATTTAGGACCCGTAGAGACTGCACCCAGCCACTAAGTGTTTAGTGCTGGCCCTGGGTAAGCTTTAAATATATGTGAAAATTTATTTATTCAGGGCTCAGATAAGCTTTAAGCATGTGCGGGAAATAAGAGTAAGTATAATAAATAACTAAACTAATATAACTCAGGATTAACATAGTCAGTGTGCGATATAAGAAAGATAAAATTTAATGGAACAGCATATCTTCAATTGCCAGTCATGTATACCAGATGCTCACTAAGCTTTATTTAACTGCTTCCCTTACAAATTTTTTTGAAAAAAATTGCAAAAAATCATCACATTTTTTTTTTTTTATATTATTAAATACAACAAAATGAAACAAATCAAAATATGTAGGTTTTAAGTTGAATTTTTAATTTTTTGAAGGTGTAAAGCATTTATTTTTAATATTCTAGTTACTATCCCGAGTTATCTTGGGCAAACGGAAAAAGTTAAATATTAATCTTTGTATGATAGTTTTTGAAACAAGGGACAACACAGAGTGATGCCCGACATTCTACACTGGTATCTGGTCTCTTTTCTTACTGGCTTACTTGCTGGAATCTCTTTCACGGGAGCACAGAGTACACTGTCTCGTTGGATTTGATTTTTTTTGTTCCACCTCTTCATAATTATTATCTGAAAAATCATCGCTTTCGCTATCTTGCATCATCGCCATCATTTTATTTTTTTTCAACGCATGCATCCTTCTTTATACATTACTAATCCACAAGCCAAGATAATACAATACAATAGGGAAACACGTGACCAGTTCCTCCAAAAGATTCGCGCAACCAACAAAATTTGGCAATTGCCATTCAAAGCTGAATATTTCCTTTCATTTCTTCCAGAATGAATAAAACCGTGATAAAAGAAATCATACTAAAAAATTCTGCACCGCCCGAGTTTTCTCGGGATAATAATTAACTGCAATATATACGAACCCGAGATAACTCGGGACAATCAGGCAAGCGGTTAATAAATAGCTGCGAATTCGAAGGTTTATCCATACTGCACACAAATAGCGAAATTTCCCCGTTAATGGAATTTGTGAAAAAATGTGGAGAAGTCCTAATAAGCAATAGAAGTTTTTCATTGCGATGATAAAGTCCAAATCATCAATAAATAATGAATAGCAAAATCTGCAATATGGTTTTAAATCTAGAAAATGTCACTACAGAGAGTGAACAAAGTGACACAGAATTTCCTCAAAATGAAAAAAATTTGATTCACAATCTAGTGGAAATTCTTGACATGGCAATTATAAGACTTGAACAATGGAATTTTGTAACTGAACAAGAAATTATATCTATAGAATTAAAGAGATAGTATTAGCACAAAAAAGAAAGCAACTTAAACAACTTACATTGGAAGAAATGTTTAATAAAGTGAAGATATAAATATTGAGTTTTTCTGTAATTTGAATTCCCTTAAGGTCATTAATGTTTCATTATTTCATA